ATTTACATTTCAATACTGGTACGTATTTAGTTACAGTAATTATTTATTTACTTATTCAGTGACCGTAATTTATTTACTTATCATATATTCATGTTCGACTTAAGATATTTTCAACTTACAATGGGTTCATCGGAATGTAACCCCCATCATATATCAAGGAATGCATCTGTATTTGTATTCATTGCTGATGAAAAAAAAGGGGCCCAATGGGAAGGAAATACCATAATTGTAGATGACTCGTGAAGTTAAGAATTATTTGGTCGGTGACCCCACGTAAAAGAGGACTGAGCAAAGAATTACAAGATGATGGCACGGATTGTTTTTGAACTCTGGGGTAGACAAAAAAAAAAAGGCAAATGAAAGGAAGTCAGGACTGTTTCTCTTCCAAGATCAACATTTTAGGAATTTCTTTCTTTCTTTCAGGAAAATCATGTTAAGATGACACTCTGGGATCCAGCCTCTATGTAAAAAATTTTGAATAACTTGTGAGCATATAAGTACAAAGCATATCATTCACTGCTTATTACATTATCCATTCACTAATAAGTCAAACCTTCGAGAGTAAATCTTAGAAGACAGATGCACTCAAACATTAACTAATATTTCCTCTCCAAAGTATGTATTAATTGTGGAGTTTCAATCAAAATATCGAGTCTGATTCACCGTTAGCCATACTCTATTATCCATAAAATATAATATGTTAATTTCAACATACACTGCATGTGCAGTCCTGAGTCCTTGTTATAACTGCTGATATAAATAGCAAATGCACCTGAGCCAAATAAAAATCAACAAATATGGCACATAAAAACCAATTACAGTATGTATATGCAAAACAACTACAGGGTGAGTTGAATGATAGTTCTAGACGTTTCATGTTGCAATCCATACATCAGGAATATTCTAGCTCTAGCTTCAAGCTAGAACGTTTCCCTGAACTAATCTCTGCTTGGATTTCCGTCACAGACCGGGCTGTGGGGGCGCTGACCCCCAAAACCCTCTCCAGGTATACTCCAGGTATCATTTCTGCAACATTGCAAGCTCCTGATGATGTGCTAAATTCAACATGAAAGGCCTAGAGCTATTATATAACTCCCCTTGCAGTTGTTCAGCATCTTGCATCATTTGTTCGTGATTATTGCATAACCAATTACAGTGGACCCCCGCATAACGATTACCTCCGAATGCGACCAATTATGTAAGTGTATTTATGTAAGTGCGTTTGAACATGTACGTTTGGGGGTCTGAAATGGACTAATCTACTTCACAATATTTCTTATGGGAACAAATTCGGTCAGTACTGGCACCTGAACATACTTCTGGAGTGAAAAAATATCGTTAACCGGGGGTCCACTGTATATATACAAGATTACATGTGATCATTAATTTGAATCAGGTGAGCACTAGAAGGCAGATGATATTTAACTGTAGCTCAAACTTCAGCTCAAACTTTGCATAATATATTGTTATTTTTCTATGAGAACTATTAAAAAAAACAAATTTCAAACAGAGAATGTGTTTGTGTACATAACTGAAGTAATGAACAGTAAAATGCTAAGCAAACACAGATGCAATTCACAACCAACTCATAAATTACAGATGAAAGTCGAGGAGCTGGTGGAAACAATATGGGGAAGGTGAGGAGAGAGGAGCTGCTAGGTATGTACATAAACACTTCAGGATGGTTAGTAACGTTTCAGTTTTATCACTTAATTAATGGATCAGTTGTGACTTGTTCTAGCCATGCTATTGTGACTTAAATATAACTAATTATTTTTCTTCAACTTCCTAAAGCACAGTATTTATGCAGTTTTTATCTAGTATCGGCCAAAATTAAAATATCTGGCATATTAAACCTGCATTGTTCTTAACTATAAACACATTACCGGCATTACTAAACCTCTTAGCTATTAAATTACTATTTTGTGCTGTTCATTTTATGGCCATGTACGTTATAAACAAGCGCAGCACATTACAGGATGGCCACACATATACAACACCTTATCTTCGGTGTTCCACGTTTTCATTGGCTTTCAACTGAGTTACTGTTCTATTCTGTTCCAGGGCTCAACTGAAAGCCAACAAAACTGTGAAACACAGAAAATAGGTGCTGTATATGTAGGACCATCCTATACACACTATAATATAGCTGGTGCTATATATCATGTGTTGAACTAATGTTGATACTAATACCATTTTATCTATTCTATAAATTATCCACAATCATCAAGCTATTTTATGTACTTAAAGCATGGTGCCTTATACTCTTAAAAAGGCATCGTTTGTCTTTAAAATTCGTTGCAGGTAAACCCATATCCATGAGACTGGGGCTGCCATGAAGTGCAGCCCATTTCTAAATTGACAGATCAGGACCTTAGAAAACACAACCTATAAATATGCAAAAGCCTACAAAGGTAAGGTGTGCCGTAGTCTCACTTCTTATCAAGAAGGTACAACCACACTCATTCTTGACTAGCTGCTAAAATTAAGAAGCTACAGTCTTCTACATTAATGTGGTCTACATTCCTCTAGTATACAACACTCACAGGTAAAATCAGACTTCATATAAAAAATAAAATGAAATTCTTTGTGTAATATCAATGAAAAACAAATTGTAATATAGAGATAATCCTGAAATTATTACAGAGTGACAAGCCGAACACATTAAGGATTATTCGGTACAAGAGGCTCAATCCTCCATCCTGTAATTGCATCCCAGTTTTGGAATCACCTACTGGTGGTAATTCCTTAGATAATCCTGAAACAATCTACAATAGTACATAAAATTATATTTATCAGAAAAAAATTCAATAACAAAGCACACCATGTCTTTATTATCATCATTAAATTCACAAAATTTTAAACCTATGCCTTTAGTAAAAGTGAGATAAAAAAAAAAATTCAAAGATCAATACAACTACTGCAACTTGCAAAAATATACGATCTTACATATCCAGCTGTGCTGTCTACGGATCTTTTGTGTTATGAAAAACATCATACAAAACAGTCATCTTTAATCTTTCAACAAAAATGTACATAAATGTCTCCTTATAGAAAGCTTACATGTCATTATTTGTAAAATACTTCAAAGGGTATGTGATGTGTAGCATAAAAACTAACATTACTGTTGTTTCATGGGGGAGTGTAAAACCTTTCAAGACGATGGATTATGACACGTGCAACATCTGGATATCTTTACTGTAGACATTTCGCCATCCAGTGGCTTTATCAATACAAATTCTAGGATATAATTCGAAGACAGGAGAACTGTATACAAAAGATGAGGTAATCAGTCCCACAGCCTTGGAGTTGGTGCGAAGAGCACAGTGAATCTTCACGACTATGTTGCTCTTCACATCAACTCCAAGGTTGAGGGATTGATTATCTCATCTTTTATATATAGTTCCCCTATCTTCTAGTTATATCCTAGAATTTGTATTAATAAAGCCACTGGATGGCAAAATTTTATTTTTATTATCACACTGGCCGATTCCCATCAAGGCAGGGTGGCCCGAAAAAGAAAAACTTTCAACATCATTCACTCCATCACTGTCTACAATAAAGATATCCAGATGTCGCACGTGCGTCTTAATTCATGGTCTTGAAAGGTTTTACACTCCCCCACTCCCCAGATGTTGCACGTGTCTAATTTTCATCTTGTCGGTATTGTATACCATTTTTGTACAAGACCATAGATTGCCTGGGGAATCAGAAGTAATCAGGTTTGATCCAAGGAAGGTTTATGTACCTCCAGTTCCTTAGATCAAGCATCAAGACAGCTATCCATGATGGGTGCTAATTAAAGATTTGCAATTCTCCTAATTAAAGCAGAATCAGAGTTGGATTAAGATTTTGTAGGCCCCTGGGCTACAGGTACTCTCAGGCCCCTGGGCTACAGGTACTGTAAGTCCATGGGTACAGTACTGGACGACCTGCAACAGGTACTGTGAGGTCCCAGGCCACAGAACTGTGACGCCCTGGGCTACAGGTACTGTGAGGTCCCTGGGCCACAGGTACTGTGAGGATCCTGAGCTACAGGTACTGTGAGGTCCCTGGACCACAGGTACTGTGAGGACCCTGGGCCACAATACTGTGAGGTTCCTGGGCTACAGGTACTGTGAGGCCCTGGGCCTACAGATACTGTGAGGTCCCTGGGCTACAGGTACTGTGAGGTCCCTGGGCTACAGGTACTGTGAGGTCCCTGGGCTACAGGTACTGTGAGGTCCCTGGGCAACAGGTACTGTGAGGTCCCTGGGCTACAGGTACTGTGAGGTCCCTGGGCTACAGGTACTGTGAGGTCCCTGGGCTACAGGTACTGTGAGGTCCCTGGGCTACAGGCACTGTGAGGTCCCTGGGCTACAGGTACTGTGAGGTCCCTGGGCTACAGGTACTGTGAGGTCCCTGGGCTACAGGTACTGTGAGGTCCCTGGGCTACAGGTACTGTGAGGTCCCTGGGCTACAGGTACTGTGAGGTCCCTGGGCTACAGGTACTGTGAGGTCCCTGGGCTACAGGTACTGTGAGGTCCCTGGGCTATAGGTACTGTGAGGTCCCTGGGCTACAGGTACTGTGAGGTCCCTGGGCTACAGGTACTGTGAGGTCCCTGGGCTACAGGTACTGTGAGGTCCCTGGGCTACAGGTACTGTGAGGTCCCTGGGCTACAGGTACTGTGAGGTCCCTGGGCTATAGGTACTGTGAGGTCCCCAGTGATATTTTGAAAATGAAAAAATACTTAAAGAAATATTAAATATATTTCTATAAGACTAACCACAATAAAAATTCAAACATTGGCTTCCTGTTATTTCTCGGAAACAATATTTTCCAAGGACACAGTAAATTGTAAGTTGAGAACAATCTGGAGGCCTTCCAGCTGGTGCAAGAACCTGGAAATTGCAGCACCTTGAGGCCTCCACATGGTGCAGGACCTTTGTAGCTACCGGAACCATTGCTCACAGACCCTGAGCTGAAGTGGACATTGGAGGCCCTCCAGCTGCACGGACCCTGGGCTGCAGGATCTGGAGGCCCTCCACCTAGTGGAGGCCCCTGGGCTGCAGTACCTGGAGGCCCTCCACCTTGAGGAGGACCCTGGGCTGCAGCACCTGGAGGCCCTCCATCTGGTGGAGGCCCCTGGGCTGCAGCACCTGGAGGCCCTCCATCTGGTGCAGGCCCCTGGGTTGCAGCCCATAAAACCCATGTCCTAATCTGGCCGTAAGCAGAAGATAAACATTTTTATTGCTACCTTTCTCAGCAGTAAAAATCAAAAGTGGTACAGTGTTTGCTTGCTTGATTTCAAAGGAATTTTTATTCATTGTAAGCTATGCAACCTAATATGTAAATTGCAGAAAAAAATAAAAAAGTCTTTTAAAATACAAAAGACTGTCAGCTTGAAATGCTTTTTAAGTAATCCAGTTAACTTTTAAAGAGAAGAAAAAAGAGGAAATAAAAACCTTAATTACTGTATACTTTTTTATATAATCCATTTAACTTTTAAAGAGAAAAAAGGACCATTAAAGCCTTAATTACCATCAGTACTTCAATTTTCATCAAATAAGCTGCTTCCCCAAGCAGAAATTTCCTAGGCTTCCAGTCCTCTCACTCTCACATATCTGGCCTTGAGATCTCAATTATTATTTTAAAAGATGAAAAGTGCTCAGAATTGCCCACATGGGGCAATTCTGAGCAAGGAGTGGTGAAGCCTTGATCCTCCTCCTGCTAAGAACAAGAAAGATGAGTAATCTAAGCTGACCCCAACAGACCACAGAATGGGTGGGATTTGAACCCATGGCAAGTGAGTTTTACAACTCACTCGCCAATCTAAGCTGTCTAACAAACACACGAGATTAGTAAGTCTCTCATAACTCATCCAGAAGTAGTACAGGGAGTCCCAACCTTATGAGCTTATTGATTTACCATTATTTTTACCCCCAAATCTTGTAGAAAATCCTAATGAAGTAACAATTATGTATTACACACAGTTTGTAACTATAGATTGGCACTCATAAAACAATTATTTTTCAACGGAATATTTTTGTAGGCCACATCTGTAAATGATAATCATTGTAACTCACCACGGGGAAGTGGAACAGAATTCTTCCTCCCTAAGTCATACGTGTCGTAAAAGGTGACTAAAGTACCATGAGCAAGAGGCCAGTAACCCCTTCTCCTGTATACATTACTAAAGTAAAAACAAGAAATTTTCATTTTTCTTTTTAGGTTGCCCAGTCTTGGTGGTATATGGCTAATTTGTCGAAAAAAATATAATGTAACTCAGGTGTTCATAAGCCAGGACCCCCTGTATGTGGCTTTCTTTAGTAACAAGCAAAAGCATCTCCTATATAATTATTTTGCATCTAACTTTGAAAAATGTTATGATACGGAAAGTTAACCCTTGCAGCATCTATGTTGATTAACCATTTCTTGTGTTTATAAAATAAATTTATTGATAAAAGCTACAAACCATACCACGGGTGGGGTTTGAACCTGCGGTCAGAGTCTCAAAATTCCAGACCATCACGTTAGCCACTAGGCCAGTTAGCTTCAATAAGATTCATCCAACTAGGTATATTTCTACACCATAGGATGGTTAGCATAGGCCACCACTGTGACCACAAATGCAAGTTTTTACAGACGAATCTCCCGCTAGCATGGCCGTGATGAACTCTAGCTCAAGTCCCCTCAAGTCCCCCCAAAGCCGCTGGCTTTGAGGGGACTTTTGAGACTCTCTGACCACGGGTTCAAATCCCACCCGTGGTATGGTTTGTTTGCAATTGTGTCATTACGACTTCGTGAGTCATAAAAGCTACAATGTTAGTACCATGGAGAATCTGAGGTTGTTTTTCATGCCAGTAATTAAGGGGTCTGAAAATTATTAGCTTTATTACAAGAAAAAGTATAAAAAATATTTCCAATCATAATCTTTGAATGATTTCCATACTGCACATTATTTCCAAGTGCATGAAATCAATAAAAGCATGAACACTCAAATTATTCCAGATTGTATGTTATTGATGCCAAAAACCTAGCAGGATGCGACTAAAGCTTCCAATCCTAGAAACAATAAACAATAGCGTCTACTGTCCGGAGGCCGCCATTAGATATTTAACAATATCACACTGGCTACCCTCAAGCATTTCTATTAAAGCGGTTTTTGAGTTAAGCCTTATTAGTATTTTATTAAAAGTTTTCCAGTTTCTAAAAAGAATTAGCATATTATTTTCCCCACTAAAATTAGCATTGCAAACACTGTAAAAGGTAAAATTAGAGCAAAAAAGCAAAGATAAAAAGTATACCCTTTGAGTGGAAATGTTCCAGTGAAATTTTTTCTGTAAATTCTAAAATACCAACTCAAATGCCTTTCATCATTTACATTACAGAAATTATCATCTACAACAATGAGCATGAGTGTGTATGTGTGTAAATATATACAGTACTAGGCATTGTTTTGTGACATTAAAGCATATATCACACATGATAATATATATATAGAGAGATATTGGACCAGTGTATGAGACTACTCATGTCGATAAGTCTCCATATTCTGCATTCCATTTTTCGTATGTAGATATTGTGGACTGAGGGACTGATCTACGGATCTTTTTCAAAGATTCTTTAAAATCTGCGAGAGTGATTCCTCTTACTTCTGATGGATCACAAGACACAACTTCCTCAGGATTCAGTTCTGCAAAAATGAAGTTAGGATATCTCTGTTAATGACAAAATAATAACAGGTGAAGGAGGTGTGTTAATGTTGCAGTTTAAAAACTGTAGTGTAAAGCACCCTTCTGGCAAGACAGTGATGGAGTGAATGATGGTGAAAGTTTTTTCTTTTTCGGACCACCCTGCCTTGGTGGGAATCGGCCAGTGTGTTAATAAATAATAATAAAAATAATAACAATAAACACACTATAAACTTTCATTTTTCTTTTAAGGTCTTCCTGCCTCAATGGAATATGGCCGGTGTGTTGAAAAAAATTTATACTATCAAAGTATTTTATAACAATATTTCTTATACTTCATTGACCAAGTTCAGAAATACTCCAAGAGAATGTTTTTTTTTTTTTTTTTTTTTTTTCAACAAGTCGGCCGTCTCCCACCGAGGCAGGGTGACCCAAAAAAAAGAAAGAAAATCCCCAAAAAGAAAATACTTTCATCATCATTCAACACTTTCACCACACTCACACATTATCACTGCTTTTGCAGAGGTGCTCAGAATACAACAGTTTAGAAGCATATACGTATAGAGATCACAACATATCCCTCCAAACTGCCAATATCCCAAACCCCTCCTTTAAAGTGCAGGCATTGTACTTCCCATTTCCAGGACTCAAGTCCGACTATATGAAAATAACCGGTTTCCCTGAATCCCTTCACTAAATATTACCCTGCTCACACTCCAACAGATCGTCAGGTCCCAAGTATCATTCGTCTCCATTCACTCCTATCTAACACGCTCATGCACGCTTGCTGGAAGTCCAAGCCCTCACCCACAAAACCTCCTTTATACCCCCTCTTTCCAACCCTTTCGAGGACGACCCCTACCCCTCTTTCCTTCCCCTATAGATTTATATGCTTTCCATGTCATTCTACTTTGATCCATTCCTCTAAATGACCAAACCACCTCAACAACCCCTCTTCTGCCCTCTGACTAATGCTTTTATTAACTCCACACCTTCTCCTAATTTCCACACTCCGAATTTTCTGCATAATATTTACACCACACATTGCCCTTAGACAGGACATCTCCACTGCCTCCAAACCGTCTCCTCGCTGCTGCATTTACCACCCAAGCTTCACAGCCATATAAGAGTGTTGGTACTACTATACTTTCATACATTCCCTTCTTTGCCTCCATAGATAACGTTTTTTTGACTCCACATATACCTCAACGCACCACTCACCTTTTTTCCTCATCAATTCTATGATTAACCTCATCCTTCATAAATCCATCCGCCGACACGTCAACTCCCAAGTATCTGAAAACATTCACTTCTTCCATACTCCTCCTCCCCAATTTGATATCCAATTTTTCTTTATCTAAATCATTTGATACCCTCATAACCTTACTCTTTTCTATGTTCCACTTTCAACTTTCTACCTTTACACACATTCTCAAACTCATCCACTAACCTTTGCAATTTTTCTTTAGAATCTCCCATAAGCACAGTATCATCAGCAAAAAGTAACTGTGTCAATTCCCATTTTGAATTTGATTCCCCATAATTTAATCCCACCCCTCTCCCGAACACCCTAGCATTTACTTCCTTTACAACCCCATCTATAAATATATTAAACAACCATGGTGACATTACACATCCCTGTCTAAGACCTACTTTTACCGGGAAATTCTCCCTCTCTTCTACACACCCAAACCCTGAGCCTCACTATCCTCATAAAAGCTCTTTACAGCATTTAGTAACTTACCACCTATTCCATATACTTGCAACATCTGCCACATTGCTCCTCTATCCACTCTATCATATGCCTTTTCTAAATACATAAATGCAATAAAAACTTCCCTACCTTTATCTAAATACTGTTCACATATATGCTTCAATGTAAACACTTGATCTACACATCCCCTACCCACTCTGAAGCCTCCTTGCTCGTCCGCAATTCTACATTCTGTCTTACCTCTAATTCTTTCAATTATAACCCTACCGTATACTTTTCCTGGTATACTCAGTAAACTTATTCCTCTATAATTTTTACAATCTCTTTTGTCCCCTTTCCCTTTATATAAAGGACTATACATCCCTCTCCGCCAATCCCTAGGTACCTTCCCCTCTTTCATACATTTATTAAACAAAAGTACCAACCACTCCAACACTATATACCCCCCTGCTTTTAACATTTCTGTCATGATCCCATCAGTTCCAGCTGCTTTAAACCCCCTTTCATTCTACGTAATGCCTCACGTACCTCCACCACACTTACATTCTGCTCTTCTTCACTCCTAAAAGATGGTATACCTCCCTGGCCAGTGCATGAAATTACCGCCTCCCTATATAGGTATATAGGTAGTAGGTTGGTAGACAGCAACCACCCAGGGAGGTACTACCGTCCGCCAAGTGAGTGTAAAACGAAAGCCTGTAATTGTTTACATGATGGTAGGATTGCTGGTGTCTTTTGTCTGTCTCATAAATATGCAAGATTACAGGTACGTCTTGCTACTTCTACTTACATTAGGTCACACTACACATACATGTACACGTTTATTTATACACACCATCTGAGTTTTCTTTGATTTTATCTTAATAGTTCTTGGTCTTATTACTTTTCCTTTTATATCCATGGGGAAGTGGAATAAGAATCTTTCCTCCGTAAGCCATGCGTGTTGTAAAAGTCAACTAAAATGCCGGGAACAATGGGCTAGTAACCCCTTTTCCTGTAAAGATTACTAAAAAGAATAAGAAGAAGAAAATTGTCAAAGTGGGAAGTCTGAATGTGCGTGGATGTTGTGCAAATGATAAGAAAGAGATGATTGTGGATGTTTATGAATGAGAAGAAACTGGATGTCCTGCTTTAAGTGAAACAAAGCTGAAGGGGTGGAGAGTTTCAATGGAGAGGAATAAATGGGATTAGGTCAGGGGTTTCAAATAGAGTTAGAGCTAAAGAAGGAGTAGCAATAATGTTGAAGGATAAGCTATGGCAGGAAAAGAAGGACTACAAATGTATAAATTCAAGGATTATGTGGAGTAAAATAAAGATTGGATGTGAAAAGTGGGTTATAGTAAGCGTGTATGCACCTGAGAAGAGAGAAGTGTAGAGGAGAGAGAGAGGATTCTGGGAAATGTTGAGTGAATGCGTGGGGAGTTTGAATCAAGTGTGAGAGTAATGGTGGTTGGGGATTTCAATGCTAAAGTGGGTAAAAATGTTATGGAGGAGTAGTAGGTAAATTTGGGTGCCAGGGTAAATGTAAATAGGGAGCCTTTAATTGAGCTATGTGTAGAAAGAAATTTGGTAATAAGTAATACATATTTTATGAAAAAGAGGATAAATAAATATACAAGGTATGATGTAGCACGTAATGAAAGTATTTTGTTAGATTATGTATTGGTGGATAAAAGGTTGAGGGGTAGGCTCCGGGATGTACATGTTTATAGAGGGCAAATGATATATCGGATCATATTTTAGTTGTAGCTACAGTTAGAGTAAGAGGTAGATGGAAAAGAGGAAGGTGGCAACAACAAGTAAGAGGAGGTGAAAGTGTATAAACTAAGGGAGGAGAAGTTCGGGCGAGATATAAGCGACTATTGGCAGAAAGGTGGGCTAGTGCAAAGATGATAGTGGGGGGTTGAAGAGGGTTGGAATAGTTTTAAAAATGCAGTATTAGAATGTGGGGCAGAAGTTTGTGGTTATAGGAGGGTGTGGGGCAGGAGGAAAGAGGAGTGATTGGTGGAATGATGAAGTAAAGGGTGTGATAAAAGAGAAAAAGGTAGCTTACGAGAGGTTTTTACAAAGCAGAAGTGTTATAAGAAGAGCAGAGTATATGGAGAGTAAAAGAAAGGTGAAGAGAGTGGTGAGAGAGTGCAAAAGGAGAGCAGATGAAAGAGTGGGAGAGGCACTGTCAAGAAATTTTAATGAAAATAAGAAAAAATTTTGGAGTGAGTTAAACAAGTTAAGAAAGCCTAGGGAAAGTATGGATTTGTCAGTTAAAAACAGAGTAGGGGAGTTAGTAGATGGGGAGAGGGAGGTATTAGGTAGATGGAGAGAATATTTTGAGGAACTTTTAAATGTTAAGGAAGAAAGAGAATGTTATGAATATTATATTATTCAATTATTCACCTTAATGCACTCATTCAGTCTTCTGCAGTGCCACTTTGTCTGGTTCATAGTTGTACTGTTTTCTCTTATTATATCAGCCTACCTACATCAGTCTACATGCAGCCAGCAGTAACAGCCTGGATGATCAGGCCCTGATCCACCATGAGGCCTGGTCACAGACTGGGCTGCAGGTGCATTGAGCCCTGAAACCCTCTACAGGTATATGTGTGGGGGGCACTGTCCCCTGGAACACTCTCCAGGTATACCTGGAGAGGATTTCAGGGGTCAACGTCACCGCAGCCCGGTCTGTGACCAAGATGTGACCTAGCTCGAACAACTGATATCCAGGTACCTACTTACTACTAGGTGAAAAGAGGCAACTGGTGTAAGGAGATCTGTCTATAGCTCTCTACCAGGATTTGAACCCAGGTCATTTCTGACTGAGAACTGAATGTTCTACTATATTTTTTATCTCACTCTCACTGGTGAAAATTTGACTAAGAAAAAAATACCCAATATGCTAGAAAATGCTCAAATAGATCTTAAAATTATATGTTGAAAATAAAATAGAAATTAAATACGCTGGTCATATCTCACTGAGGCAGAGTGACCTGAAAAAGAAACACTTACACCATTGTTCACACTATCACTGTCTTGCCAGACGCATGCAGATACAACAGCTCAGGTGTCCCTCTAAACAGCAAATATCTGTAACCCATCCTTTAGAGTGCAGGAACTGTACCTTCCACCTCCAGGACTCAAGTCCAGCTAGCCAGTTTCCTTGAATCCCATCACAAAATGTTACCATGCTTGCACTAACAGTTCATCAGGTCCCAAATAATGTTAAATAATAATGTTAAATAGGTTTTTGTTTTGCACTTACCTCTAATTGGGGCAAGAGCTGCATCCTTGGCCAGGGATGTTAGATCAGAGCCCGAGTATCCTTCAGTAAGGCCAGCCAATATATCCATGTCTCGAGCACATATTTCTGACTTTTGCTTCGCCACAAGCTTACCGAGTAATAATGTGCGTGTGTTCTTGTCTGGTAGTGATACATAAACTCTCTTGCTGAAGCGTCTGTAAACATAAAACTTAAAATTAGCACAAATTTACAGATCTGCTGATAATTTATCTAACCAAGGTAGGGTGACCCAAAGAGGAAAATACATTTATGATCATTCATTTAATCTCCATCTTTCTAAGAGTGGTGATACTGTAATCAGATTAGTACTTTCTGACTGCAGTATCCCTACATCTCCTTCAGAGTGCAGGCAGTACCCCCCCCCCCCCTCCAGGACTCAAGTCCGACTAAATGGTTTCCCCGAGTCCCTTCAAAAATGTTATCTTGCTTACACTCCAAAGCCTCTTTTTTCTTTTAACAATGGCCATCTCCACCTAGGCAGGGTGACCCCAAAAAAACAGAAATGCTTTCTTCTCTTTACATTTAGGTGCTCCTCGACTTATGATAGGGCTACATTCTGATGAACTCATCATAAGTAGAAAATACCGTAAGTCAAATATGATACAATAAAAAAGTAAATTAACAGTTACAGGTTGGCCATCACTGATCCAGCAACCACTGATCCGGCAATCACTGATCCGGCAATTACTAATCCAGCAATCACTGATCTGGCAATTATTGACCCAGCAATTACTGATCCAGCAATTACTGATCCAGCAATCACTAATCCAGTTCCATCACTAATCCAATACTAATTTTGGCTAGCATATCTAGTGACAGTTGACAGGCAACTGCTAAAAGGTCTAGAGCAACACAGTTTTATAAGTGAACAAGAAATAATGAACATTTATTTACGTAAGTAAATAAACAAATAATTACTCTAACTAAATACAGTGGACCCCCGGTTTACGATATTATTTCATTCCAGAAGTATGTTCAGGTGCCATTACTGAACGAATTTGTTCCCATAAGGAATATTGTGAATTAGATTAGTCCATTTCAGACCCCCAAACATAAACGCACAAACGCACTTACATAAATACACTTACATAATTGGTCGCATTGGGAGCTGATCGTAAAGCGGGGGTCCACTGTACTAGTACTTTGAAGTAAATACTATATGAAAACAAGTTCATCCTATCAACAAATAAACGGTACTGAATATGCTTCATTATCGCACCATTGTAAAGTCAAAATATTGTAAGTTGAACCATCGTAAAGCAAGGAGAATCTGTAGGTTATTAGCACCTTGCTCCTGGCATTTTAGTAGCCTCTTACAACACACACAGCTCATGGAGGAAGGATTCTTCTCTACCTCCCCATGAAGACTCCAAAGCATCGACCGTTTCCCACCAAGGCAGGGTGACCCAAAAACAGAAGAAACACTTTCATCATCATTCAAATCTTGCCAAATGTGTGCCTCTGAAGCATATTGAGTAAAAAAAAAACAAAAAAAACTAATGCACTCCCAAGAATCCATTCATAATTTCACATTAAAAACATACTAAACCACAGATTACCCAAGTACCTTAGAGCAGCATCATCCAGTTCCTGTGGCCGATTTGTAGCCCCCATGATGAGAATTCTCTCGTCGGGATCTGACTTGAGTCCATCAAATTCAACAAGAAACTCAGTTTTAAGTCTTCTTGAAGCCTCATGTTCTCCTTCTCTTCTCTCACACAGCAGTGAGTCTATTTCATCTATGAAGATAATTGCTGGCTGTAAATACAATAGAATAACATTAATGAGTAACTAAGCATTAGGAATAGTCTGTGCAACATGCACAGCATACTAGTGGCTTTCTTCTCTGCCTAACAATAGTGCATTACCTGTAAACTACATTACCTTTATACTGCATGAAATAAATAAATTTATTCTTCTTTCAACAAACCGGCCATATCCCACTGAGGCAGGGTGGCCCCCCCCAAAAAAAAAAAGTTTCTCTTTTTAATTTTAGTAATGTATACAGGAGAAGGGGTTACTAGTCTCTTGCTCCCGGCATTTTAGTCGCCTCTTATAACACACATGACTTACGGAGGAAGAATTCTGTTCCACTTCCTCATGGAAATAAGAGGAAATAAACAAGAAGAACTAGTAAGAAAAGAGAAGAAAACCCAGAGGATTGTGTATATATATGCTTGTACATGCATGTGTAGTGTGACCTAAGTGTAAGTAGAAGAAGCAAGATGTACCTGAAATCTTGCATGTTTATGAGACAGACAAAAGACACCAGCAATCCTACCATCATGTAAAACATTTACAGGCTTTTGTTTTACACTCACTTGGCAGAACCGTAGTACCTCCCTGGGTGGTTGTTGTCTACCAACCTACTACCTAGGAAATAAATTTATTGTTACCTTTGAAGGTCAAAGGGTAATAATAATCTTTACCTCTGAAGACTTTCGAGAGTTTAATGAATGAAAATGAAAGGTCTGACTAATTCTTCAAGTCATTGACTTGTGAAATCTTAACGCGTGTCTTGACATGGATGTAAACCCTTCATGCTGTGACTTCATTATGTCAATGAACTAAGTGAAACAATTGAATTCATAAGTCAATGAATGAAATGAAATAAAATTTAATTCCTGAAGTCAATGAATGGAATGAATTATTTAATTCCTGAAGTCAATGAAAGGAATAAAATAAATAACTTAACTCCAGGCTTAAATAAGGTGTACATGTATTAATATTAAGTAGTGTTAGTTCTAGTCTAAGTCTGTCTGCAATGATTTGCATAATCATAAACTTAATCCTCCAGAAAAGTTTCAAAAGAGCTTAAAAAATACTATTTACCCAGTCAATTAATTATAATTTTAAGTATTTGTATTTTTTATCAAACAGCCATCGCCTGTCAAGGAAGGGTGACTCAAAAAAGGAAACGTATTCACCATCATTCATTCAGTACCTGGCTTGCCACAGGTGCATGGATAACAAAATTCTTCTAACAAGACACATTAATTGCATTTGTGTCCTGTCACCTGACATTTTGTCAGTAATTATGCCACAATATCATAACTGGAACAATACACAAATAACCTGCACATGGGAGAAGAGGAGAGAGAAGCTTATGATGACATTTCAGTCCAACTTGGGCTATTTATAAGTCACACTAACATGTGACAGTGAAGGAGCCAGTCCCCCTCTCCAATATATACTGGCTCCCTCACTCTTGTGTGTTAGTGTGACTTGTAAATGGTCCAAGTCATAAGCCTTTGCTCTCCTGTGTGTGCGACATTTGTGTAACTCTGAAACACAACATCCTCTCTTTCTCAATTATCCCATTACAGACAAAAAATATTTCACCTGCAGTTCCCTGGCCACAGAAAACAGGGCTTTAACCAGCTTCTCTCCTTCACCCACGTATTTACTAGTTAGTGTGGAGGCGCTGATATTGAAGAAAGTAGCTGAACTTTCACTTGCCACAGCTCGTGCCAACATTGTTTTCCCATTACCTGCGAGAAGAATACTTCCAGTCATACATCAGAGAAACATACAAGATCTAACGCTACACAAATACCCACAAATAATTATGTACTGTGTTTTAAGGTATACAAGATAAACCTTTTTTTTTTTTAAAAATACAAAATCATTCTGCTTGCTCATTACTTTGTAATTTGTTCAAGACTGTAACCATGTATAGGAGTGAGGCTGATTCATTACCTTTGTAACTAGTTCAGCTATCATAACTTTGGGGTCCAGACCCTGGACCCATTATGTACCTTTGTAATCTTTTGACTACCGCCCACAGGATGGGTATGGGGTGCATAATAAAGATATTAAACTTTCTACTTAGCGAAGGTCAGGCCTGGCGTCAAGCTTGAGATCTATGAATAATTCCATTTAACAAAGAGAACAATTAAAAAATAATAAATAAACAAGGTATATTCCATAAATTTAAAGTGGGTCTTATATGCCGCAAAATACAGTACGTACAGTGGACCCCCGGTTCACGATATTAATCCGTTCCTGAGAGCTCATCGTAAACCAAAATTATTGGAAAGTGAATCAATTTTCCCCATAAGAAATAATGGAAATCAAATTAATCCGTGCAAGACACCCAAAAGTTGAAAAAAAAAAGCTTTTACCACATGATATATTAAGTTTAATGCAATATAATAATTACAATAACAATAATAACAATAGAATAATCACAATAGAAAAATTGACACTTACCTTTAATGAAGATCTGGTGATGATTGATGGGATGGGAGGAGGGGAGAGTGTCGAAGCTTTAATGTTTAAAAGGGGAATCCCCCTCCATTAGGACTTGAGGTAGCAAGTCCTTTTCCGGGGTTACTTCCCTTCTTCTTTTAATGCCACTAGGACCAGCTTGAGAGTCACTGGACTTCTGTCACACAACATATCTGTCCATAGAGGCCTGTACCTCCCGTTCCTTTATGACTTTCCTAAAGTGGTTCACAACATTGTCAGTGTACAGGTTGCCAACATGGCTTGCAGTAGCTGTGTCAGGGTGATTTTCATCAAAAAAGGTTTGCACTTCAAGCCACTTTGCACACATTTCCTTAATTTCAATAGTCATTAGCACCCTTGGTCTCGATGGGTTGGCACTAGAAGCTTTCTTGGGGCCCATGGTGACTTATTTTGCAGAAGCAAGCACCAAAAACAGTGATAATATGGATAATATAGAATGTACCGAATGTATCCTTAGATGCGCGCACACTGGCTGGCTTGTAAACACTGGACACGTCTCGTATGAATCGTATCACATACCGGGTTTTGTAACGGAAACCGAGGCAAATTTTTTGCGATATAATGCTTCGGATACCGGATTTATTGGATACCGATGGCTTCGCAAACCGGGGGTCCACTGTAATTCATCAAAACAATTATCGGTAACTTAAATGAAGAGAAATCTTTTGACTAACGCTAAACAGGTGTCCCTGCCTTTGTGAAGTACATGTGTTCCAGGCTCACAGCAGCTGTACTATGCTCAAACAGGGTTTCTTTTTTAATACACTGGCCGTCTCCCACCAAGGCAGGGTAGCCTTAGTGGGAGATATCCAGTTTCCCACCAATGCTACCCTGTATCTACACACCTCTGTGTTGCCAGAGGTGTGTAGATACTACAGTTTGGAAGTTCCTCCAGACAGAAAATCTCCCCATGCATCCTTCAGAGTGCAGGCACGGTACTTCCCACCTCCAGGACTCAAGTCCAGCTAGCCAGTTTCGCTGAATCCCTTCACAAAACATTACCTTGCTCGCACTCCACAGCTTGTCAAGGCATCAAAACAGAATTCCATACAAGAATCTGCAATATATTTTGCAAACCTCACTAATACATAACAAATGTATATCACATATACAGAGTAACTGATAGGAATGAGTCACAATAGCAAACTGCCATAAAACAAATCTGCATAAAACAAGGAAAGCCTGTACAGGTGCTCCTTAACTTACAATTGTTTGACTTTACAATGGTGCAAAAGCAATTACCTTGGAGATGAAATGGAAGATAATTACCCAGCACAAAGTTGGCAAGTCTGTAACTTGTATTCATTTATTTACGTTTCACTGCTGGTATTTAGTTACAGTAATTATTTGTTTATTTACTTATTCAGTGACAGTAATTATTTATTTACATGTTTATTTAGCATATCACATTTATATATGACTTACGATATGATGGGTTTGTCGGAGCGCGACCCCATTGTAAGTCAAGGAGCACCTGTATGTTCTTCAAAGCAGAAAAAACATTAAGTCACAGTTATGTAACATTTTGCCTATAGTCCTGGCAGTTTCTTGGCGAGATTTTCTTTTTTATTATTATTATCACACTGGCCGATTCCCACCAAGGCAGGGTGGCCCGAAAAAGAAAAACTTTCACCATCATTCACTCCATCACTGTCTTGCCAGAAGGGTGCTTTACACTACAGTTTTTAAACTGCAACATTAACACCCCTCCTTCAGAGTGCAGGCACTGTACTTCCCACCTCCAGGACTCAAGTCCGGCCTGCCGGTTTCCCTGAACCCCTTCATAAATGTTACTTTGCTCACATTCCACACACTTTGCAATGAAAATGGAACAATAAGTTGTACCTGGAGGACCAAAGAGCAGCAAGCCTCTGGCTGGTGCACGTAGACCCGTGAAGAGTTCTGGCCGCAGTGCCGGCAATATTACAATCTCTTGCAGAGCTTTCTTCGCAGTCTGCAATTCACATATCTCTTAATATTTTGTTACATATAAAAGCTATCCTTGTAATACATAAATCAAAACATAATTTTATTTTAACACACTGGCTGTCTCCCACCAAGGCAGGGTGATCTGAAAAAGAAACACTTTCAGCATCATTCACACTATCACTGTCTTGCGAGACACGGAGATATAACAGTTTAGGTGTCCCTCTAAACAGTAAATATCCTAAACCTTTCCTTTACAGTACAGGCATTGTACTTCCCACCTCCAGGATTCAAGTCCAGCTAAATGGTTTTCCCTGAATTCCTTCACAAAATATTACCTTGCTCACACTCCAACAGCTCATTAAGTCCCAAAAACCATTCATCTCCACTCACTCCTATCTAACACATGCCTGCATTAATATGGTCTTAGTTGCTAATCTAATAAAGGAATACACTACTGAAGACTTTTAAAAAAAAAAGTTCAAGAATGGCCCAGGAAATAATGATGTACAGTGGAACTTCAGCACTCAAACTTAATTGGCTCCAGAAGGCTGTTCAAGTGCCCATCTCTTGAAGTATAGAATGAATTTTTACCAAACAATTTTCCTTTTGTTTGGCTGTTATCACTAACCCTCTTAGGCCCCATGGTGACTTTTTTTTTTCAAGTAAGTCGGCCGTCTCCCACTGAGGCAGGGTGACCCAAAAAGAAAGAAAATCCCCCCTAAAAAACTTTCATCATCATTCAACCCTTGCACTTCATTCACACATAATCACTGTCTTTGCAGAGGGACCCAGATACAAAAGTTTAGAAGCATATATAACATATCCCTCCAAACTGTCAATATCCCAAAACCCTCCTTTAAAGTGCAGGCATTGTACTTCCCATTTCCAGGACTCAAGTCTGACTATATAAAAATAACCGGTTTCCCTGAATCCTTTCACTAAATATTACCCTGCTCACACTCCAACAGATCATCAGGTCCCAAAAACCATTCGTCTCTATTTACTCCTATCTAACATGCTCACACATGCTTGCTGGAAGTCCAAACTCCTCGCCCACAAAACGAAGTTCTGGCAGGTCATGTTTGTTTGGTCAAGTGCTGAGCAAATGGTCGACTACGGAGTGATTTGTTTACCGAACAAAGTGTTCGAATACCAAATTGTTCGAGTATGGAGCTGTTCGAATACTGAGGTTCCACTGCACTGTACTGTTATTCATGGGAAAACACTAAACCTGTAGGAATCAAAGTGGATGGGGAACGGGAAGGTATTAGGTTTGGTTCACAGAAGAGGAGGGTAGCTTCAATTCCTTGGAACAAGAGCTCTAACTAATAAGCTCATTTGTAACTAAAAAAACAAAACTAAAAATTATGTATTTGTAAATTGCCGACTTTCTGTATATCAGTTTTACGCATTAAAAAATGTCCAATACATTAACGTATGAGCCTGGCTCATGGATACACTCAGGGTAAAAAAACTCTAGAACATCATCTAAGATATATCAAAAGTAAAGTATTTACAAACTCAGCAGCATCAGTAACTTACCCCTTGCCCTGCTATGTCATCCCATGACACTGGAGGTGAAGAATCAATGATCTCATCCATGATGCCATGTGCCAGTTTGCTATCCACTCCTTTCAGAGATGCCGACGCACAACGTCTGTGTGTTGGCGTGCTCTTCGGTGTCCCATTACTGCCATTTCCACCAAGACCGGAACCGGCCGAGCCTCGCCGTTTCAGAGGCGAGCCCATCGAATGTCCGCTACTCTGAAAAGTTATACATGGTAAATATTACATTTTTCAACTGAACTTCTGCTAAAATTATGCAAAACAAATTCAGGAAAAAAATCAGGTTATGCAATAATGACGTGAAGAAACATTCATGGTTTGTCCCTCAGTTCGTCGTCAATCTGACAGCTAATACATTTTATGCTGTACGTAGGTCAGTTTGCAGTAAGGTTACAATAAGAAGGTAACAACCTAGGTTAGTACATTGCAAACATCCAGGGAGGTACCGTACTATCCTCCTATCATAGAAGTCTAAAACTAAAATTGTTCAATATTTCTAATCTAGTAGGCCTGGTCTGAGACCAGGAAGCAATGATCCCTGGAAACATTAATATACGTTCCTGTTTATGACTCATGAAATCGTAATTACAAAAGTGCAAATAAACCAGGAGATGAGTGGGATTTGAAGCCATGGTGAGTGAGTCTTTAAAACACAATGGCCTGTGTGTTTTAAGGCTCACCCGCCATGAATTCCAACCCCATTTGTTCGCTGGTTCCTATTTAACCCGTAAACGGTCCAAGCAGATCTACGTTCACATGTGTAGCGCTACAAAAGTAGATCTACGTTTTTTTTACATATTTTCAAATATAGCAAAAAAAAGTAGATCAAAGTTTTTTACACATTTTCAAATGTAAAAAAACAAAAAGAAGATCTACTTTCTTTACATACTTTCAAATGTTGAAAAAACGTATATATACGTTTGGACCGTTTACGGGTTAATATGTCTACTGCATATACTGCCATAATCTATGTGTCGTTTTCCAAGACACATGAATTATTTTTTTTTTTTACACACTGGCTGTCTCTCACAGAGGCAGGGTGCCTGAAAAAGAAACGCTTTCACCATTGTTCACATTATCACTGTCTTGCCAGAGACACATAAATACAACAGTTTAGTTATCACTTTAAACAGCAAATGTCACAAACCCATCCTTCAGAACGCAGGCACTGTACTTCCCACCTCCAGGACTCAAGTCTGGCTAACTGGTTTCCCTGAATCCCATCACAAAAAATATTTTCACTAAATACTTGGTTACAAATACAACTGCAGCATCTTCATAACATCTCTGGTGGTAAACAAGATGGTTTGCTATAACAAAAATAAACATGTAACATACATCAAGGCCGCCACGAAGTAGTAAACAAAGATGCCGTTCACAATACACAAACAACCCACACGTAGGAAAAAAGGAGCTTACGACAACGTTTCAGTCCAGCTTGTATCATTTACCAAGTCACACTGTGACTGGTAACAGGCCAAGCCAGACCAAAACATTGTGGTAAGTTCCTATCTCCTATGTGCAGGTGATTTGTGTGTTGTTCCAGTCACGGTGTTGTGCCTTTTTGTTCTTCACATCGTTCATAAGTTGCCTCTCCAGCAGTATCAGACGTGTTACTAACCGGATTTGATAACTGTCGTCTGACACTGGGTGGAGTGCTGGGATGTCTGCTGTCTCTAGTCTTGGCAACAGCTCTGGAACCCATGTTTCGAGGAAGTGTCTGACTTTTATTACTTAAAGTTGTGATGCGTTTGGTTGAGGGGATCTTCTTGTAAGTCTTGGCATCTTTAAAAAGAAAATATTTAACTATGAAACGAGTCAAAGCAAAACAGTTTGTTATGATACAAGTGTTGATCAATGAGCAGGTAAATCCCACATAGACGGAAAATAAGCACTGAGTAGAAAGGATCTATTATTATTATTATAATCAAAAGTAAGTGCTAAACCCACCAGAGTCATACAGTGCTGCAGAAAGGATCTAAATATTTCAATCGCAATCAGACTGCAGAAAAGGGTCTGCAGACAAAATATAGAGTCATTTCCAGTTTTCCCTGCAGATATTTATTTACATTAAGTAGTTTGTAAGTGTTAGAATTAGTTTGCCCAAAATACTTGGCATAATAATTGGCAGTTGTAATAATTTTTTTTAATATATGGGTCATCTCCCATCAAGACAGGGTGACCCAAAAAGTAATGTATACAGGAGAAGGGGTTACTAGCCCCTTGCTCCCAGCATTTTAATCGCCTTTTGTGACACACATGGCTTACATAGGAAGGATTTTAACCAACTTCTCATGGAGTAATTGTATCTTTTTTTTTTAGGAACCAGCCGTGTCTCACCGAGGCAGCGTGACCTAAAACAAAAAAAATGAAAGTTTGTTGTTTTAAATTTAGTAATGTATACAGGAGAAGGGGGTTGATTGTAACTGTATCAAACTATATTTCTACAATAACTGCATGAAAACTAGAGCCAAATACAGTGGTACCCCAAGTTTCGTACATAATTCGTTCCAGAAGTCTGTTCGAGTGCTGTTACCAAACGAATTTGTTCCCATAAGGAATAATGTAAATTAGATTAGTCCATTTCAGACACCCAAAAATACACTTCAAAAGTACTTACAACAATGCACTTACATAATTGTTCGAGCTGGGAGCTGTACGAAACTCAGGGTACCACTATACAGTAAACCCATCCAGTGTAGCTTAACCCGTAAACGGTCCAAACGTATATATACGTTTTTTCAACATTTGAAAGTATGTAAAAAAAGTAATCTTTTTTTTTTTTACATTTGAAAATGTGTAAAAAAACTTTGATTTACCTTTTTTTTTTTTGGTTATATTTGAAAATATGTCAAAAAAACGTAGATCTACTTTTGGACACTGATTTACCTTTTTTTTTTTGGTTATATTTGAAAATATGTAAAAAAAACGTAGATCTACTTTTGGAGCACTTCACACGTGAACGTAGATCTGCTTTGACCGTTTACGGGTTAAATATGTAATTCAGGCCAAAATTTTCAATCTCATTCTATGCTTAACTTTCCATCCACGTGGGATTTACACGTGAAACACTGTGTTTCAACTTACTACTGCAGCTACATTACATAAAGCAGCAAAAATATAACAAAAAGCACAATCAAAAGCGATATTCAAAAAAAGTCATTACAGTGTGGCTGGAATGATTCATTATAAACCCACAATTTGGAGAGGAAAAGTTAGACAATATTTTGGACCATACTGAACTCCATTATCAAGTCATTATAAAGTTTCAAAACAGATTACAATGTCATTCTGGACCATACTGGACCATTATAGTCATTACAATTCTTCAAAACAGATGAAAATGCCATCTTAAGTTTCCTCTCCAAGAATTCAATTTAAGCAGTAATGAATGACTGTCAATGAATAAACAGAGGTGGACGGGAGGCTTGAACATGGTCCTGAGATTAACAGGTCCTGAGTTATGTCAAATTGTGGGCTAACAGAAAAAATTGCATCGGCCCAAAACTTGCAAAAATCATTCATAGTCGTTTGTTATTCAACACGGTGCATGAAGCATGCATATTACAGGAAATTCAAAAGTAACGAATGGCATGCATTCCCAATGTTCTCACTACTGAAGGTATTGTTTCCAGACATTCTAACTACTGAAGGTACTGTCTTCCAGACATTCTAACTACTGAAGGTACTGTCTTCCAGACATTCTAACTACTGAAGGTATTGTCTTCCAGACATTCTAACTACTGAAGTATTGTCTTCCAGACATTCTAACTACTAAAGGTATTGTCTTCCAGACATTCTAACTACTAAAGGTATTGTCTTCCAGACATTCTAACTACTAAAGGTATTGTCTTCCAGACATTCTAACTACTGAAGGTATTGTCTTCCAGACATTCTAACTACTGAAGGTATTGTCTTCCAGACATTCTAACTACTAAAGGTATTGTCTTCCAGACATTCTAACTACTGAAGGTATTGTCTTCCAGACATCCTAACCACTAAAGGTATTGTCTTCCAGACATTCTAACTACTGAAAGTATTGTCTTCCAGACATCCTAACCACTAAAGGTATTGTCTTCCTGGCATTCCAATAACAGGTACAGTATACTCTGTTTAAAACACACAACCAACTTTCCTATAGAAAACATCAATGTAAGTGATGGTTATGCTGTGTCTCACACTCATAACTGAAGATTGGCATTTGTAAGCCAATTACTTCATAAATATTATATCTCGTGCCCCTCATTATGCAGTCAATGACAAAAATTCAAATGAGGGTTTGGGAATTATTTTGGGGCATCGAGTAACATTATTCTTCACCCTAAGTGACTATTACTTTTTTTCCCCACGTTTTGTTCAACATTTTAACCCAAGAGCCTAACTGCATGTTGTTTTGTACTCAGGGATTGTTTACCATCCACCATAATTCCCATCATAACTGAACAAGGTAGATCAAGTAAAAATTTACACATACAAGGCATTAATGGATGCTGGAACAGTTAAGAACTGAAGTCTTTTGATTCTAAACAACGAAAAATTCATATCAAACTACGTACTAAATACACTGTAGAATACTCTAGAAGTATTTATCAGAGTATGCGTTATGTTATTAAATTTGAAATACAGTGGAACCTCGGTATACGACCAGCTGCTTACTCAAACAAAGCTCAGCACTCGACCAAGCAAATACGACCTGCTAGAACTTTCCTGTAATTTATTTCATTTTTCTTTACATTTTTTTGGTATTTTTTTGTATTATTTGTATAAATAAGTCACCAAGGGGCCTATGACGATTAGTGATAACAGCCAACTAAACAGAAAATTGGCTGGGAAGAACTTGTTCAATACTCAAACGGAGCAGCACTTGAATAGCCTTCTGGAATGAATTAAGGTCACATACCAAGGTTCCACCGTAATTCTGACATATCCACAACTAGAAACTGAATTTTAATAAGAAATATTAATATACATTAGTCTGTGCTGGGTTTTTTATAAGCTTAAGGGTAAGGTAAGGTAGTTGTGGCCAATTCTGTTTTTGTGGATCAATGGTTATCGAGGTTAGCAGGAGCCAAGGGTAGGGAAGGAAAGTGCAGGAGAAGTGGGCATTATACTGATGCTGTCTCTGAGAGAAGCCTTTATCTTAAACTGATTTTTCCAGGACATTTCCATGATATTTCAGTTTCTTCAATATCCATATTACTTCAGCAAGCAGAAGCCATGACATTTCTTTTATTAGTGTGCAAGCAGAACAAAGATAACAGTAGTAGAGGATGTAGCGACGGATAAATATTAGATTACTGTACATGCTTTCTCAAACTGCTCTACACTACCATTAAAATTAACTATCATGATTATCTCTATCATAATAAAGTACAAAGGTGATTAGGCAGAGCTGATACAGTTTATCGTATGATTCAGATTTTCTGGTACAGAGAAAGCAGTTTAAAATACAGATCTATTAATGTGAAACAATGCCAGTGAAAAATTAAATAACCAAGCGCTTTTGTGTAGTTACACACATCTTCGAAGAACTAACTAGTTCCTCCAGACATGTGGGTTTCAATGTTCAAAATGCTCTTTTTTTTCTTTTAACAAGCCAGCTGTCTCCCACCCAGGCAAGGTGACCCAAAAAGGAAAGAATATTAATTCTATTATTTTATTAATATTTTACTTATTTTTTTGTATATAATTTTTTTCAGAACCGAGTACTCTGCTGTTAGAATAGTCGCAAATTATTTTTAATGTGATGACCTATTTCTACCAGTAATTCCCAGAGTGTGGTATAAGTTTGTTTTCATGCTACCATCATGATTTGAAAGGGTCATACAGCTGAAAAAAGTAATGGAGATTCCCCAAAACGAAGAACTGTCTTGCTGACACGATTATGATTACTACAGTTGTCATGGGCCTGTAATGCAAATAACACACCAAGCCAGGGGTCACCTCCGACATACCAAAACATTTATATATTTAGCTTCACACATTTTTGGTTACACCATGAATAATTTTTTATTTCTTACCGCAATTTATATTAGATATGATGCATTTATATAACCATGAGAGACTTTAAATAGTGCAGTAGTGCCAGAATTTCAAAATTTCATTTCGAGTTATTGTAAACACATTAGATCAAGTGACTATTAGTTAGATTCATTACCCATTAGTTCAAGGGGTTCATGAACAAGTAGGTAAACTGGCATTAGTAATATAAACATGAAAGTTTATCACTGTTAGTACGAGATAAGGAGGAAAGATGACGCAAGAAGCACTTGGACAGAAGAGTGAGACGGGTGAAAAATAATCTGACCACTTTAGCTCTGGTCAGATCTCTCTCTCATGTGAAGAGTGATCTTAAGAGGCCAAAATATACAGACTAATTTTTACCCAATTCATCTTCCTCTTCAAGTGGTTTGTCATTTTAATTGATTAGTATTTAAGGAACTTTAATTAAATCAAGAGAGAAAATGTTTCAGAAAGAGAGAGAGAGAAAAGAGAGTATGAGCTACCTTCAGAAGGTTTTTGTGAGTGAGTAGGCCCAACTCGCCGATCGGAAGAATTTCGCCCTGAATCAGTGAGAGTCATGACCTGTGGGGCTACACGTGCCCGCGGCTTATTAGTGTGACCTGGGGAATGATTCGCGAGCCCTCGATTGCCACTGGCATTCGCCTTAACCCCCCCACCGAAACGAGGGGGGGTGTGCATGATGCGGGGGGCGGGGGAAGCTGGGGGGGTGAGGGTGGTGAGGAGGGGCACATCCAACTCCAGCTGCTGCAGGTGTACCAGCGAATCTAGAAAAACAATAACACTTTCATGCAACAAATAAACATGTACTAGGATGTGTTTTTATTACTACAAAAACATTGTTTTGAATAAAGTAAAAAAAAATTCTTGTTTTGGATGAAGGAACAAAAATACTGTACTAGGATGTGTTTTTATTACTACAAAAACATTGTTTCAATAAAGTAAAAAAAAATTCTTGTTTTGGATGAAGGAACAAAAATACTGTACTAGGATGTGTTTTATTGCTAAAAACACATTATTCTGGATGAAGTAACATAGAATAGGTGTGTTTTATCATTAAAACTTTCTTTGTTCAGAACAAAGAAACAAAAAATATACCAGGATGTGTCTTTATTAACACAAAAATTTTTGTTTTGGATAGAGAAACAGAAAAATAAATTCAATTAAACTATAACGGTATAGAGAAAAATGTAAACATCTACTTCACTTACCTGAACTATTTGTAACAATAAACAGATAATAAACACTAGCTATTGGGACTGTAAAATAACTTTTTTCGAGTTCTTTGTGAGAATTAACCCTTAAACAGTCCAAACGTATATATACGTTTTTTCAACATCTGAAAGTACGTAAAAAAATGTAGATCTTTTTTGTTTTACGTTTGAAAACGTGTAAAAAAAAAACTTTTATATACATTTTTTTTTGTTATATTTGAAAATATGTAAAAAAAGTAGCTCTACTTTTGGAGCATTACGAATTTCAACGTCGATCTGTTTGGACCGTTTAAGGGTTAAGAGAAATTATACACCAACTAACAGGACTCACCATTAAAATCTGTTTTTATAAAAAGATAAAAATAAACAATATCCTTACGTGGAAATATTCTAACGAATAATTATTACAGCTCTTTGTAATATATGAAACGGAATTAAACATTAGTTAATGGGGTTCTAAAGTAACATACAAGAAAAACATACAAAACATCAATCAAAATTTGAAACTAAAGAATATCAATAAAGAATTAAAAGCAATGTATTGTTACAAAAATTATTATTAACTGATTTAAAAACTTAAACAAAATTCCTATAAAAAATTAGTTTGTATATGTACATATTATAATGTGGACAATGTTCTCAGGAAGCAGCTGAGCCATGAATGTATTAGACAGCATGCACTCTATTAAAGACAATATAAATATACAGTGGACCCCCGCTTAACGATCACCTCCAAATGCGACCAATTATGTAAGTGTATTTATGTAAGTGCGTTTATATGTGTATGTTTGGGGGTCTGAAATGGACTAATCTACTTCACAATATTCCTTATGGGAATAAATTCGGTCAGTACTGGCACCTGAACATACTACTGGAATGAAAAAAGTTCGTTAACCGGGGGTCCACTGTACTCTATATAAAAGAAGAAAGAGGTCGTAATACCGTGGCTGCAACACTTGACAACTAACCCACAACTCAACACAGGAAACTTTAGACAACATTTCAGTGACATTTTATTGTGGCAACGCTTCGCTCTCCGGGAGCTTTGTCAAGTCATAACGGCTTGACAAAGCTCCTGGAGAGCGAAACGTTGCCACAATAAAATGTCACATTAGTTTCACTTGTGTCCTTTTAATATCTTGTCGGTAATTCTACCAATATTAATACAACATTTCACTTAGATGTGGACTGCCATTATCCTTGCAGTAATGATCCATAATGGACAAAAGCATCATCTACAGTTTCCTCCACAAATTGTGGGTTGGTTTTGCACACATAACATTTAAGAGTGAGAAATCACACAAAACATGCACAGATGAGATTAGAAAAATTGCATCTGCTTGTAGCTAAAGTAAGTTTCCTTATTAAACTCCTCTATATACCTTGAGTCTACCTGCACGTGTCTTAATTTCATCATTCCAGGGATCAACGCCCCCGCGGCCCGGTCCACAACCAGGCCTCCTGGTGGATCAGGGCCTGATCAACCAGGCTGTTGCTGCTGGCCACACGTAGTCCAATGCACGAACCACAGCCTGGCTGATCCAGCACCGACTAAGTATCTGTCCAGCTCCCTCTTGAAGGCAGCCAGGGGCCTATACAATTTTCTTGTACATGTGAGAGATACAGTGCAACCAAAACTGAATAGCATTTGCAAAACCCTTCACAGTACAGCAGAACCCCCATATCCCACTGATTCAGTATCTGATGTTTCAGTTATCCACAGTTTACTGTGGCCCAAAAAATACCTGTGAATATTGCATAATAATGGCCTCAAAGTGCAAATGTAGAGAATCTAGCAGTTTTTCAGAGTCTCAGAGAAGCTGTGAAGTGCTTCCCATCACTGACTGATAAATTCTGAACAATAAATGGAGAATTATCAATTAAACTTTATAATGGGTATGTTATATTTTTTATTATCACACCGGCCGATTCCCACCAAGGCAGGGTGGCCCGAAAAAGAAAAACTTTCACCATCATTCACTCCATCACTGTCTTGCCAGAAGGGTGCTTTACACTACAGTTTTTAAACTGCAACATTAACACCCCTCCTTCAGAGTGCAGGCACTGTACTTCCCATCTCCAGGACTCAAGTCCGGCCTGCCGGTTTCCCTGAATCCCTTCATAAATGTTACTTTGCTCACACTCCAACAGCACGTCAAGTATTAAAAACCATTTGTCTCCATTCACTCCTATCAAACACGCTCACGCATGCCTGCTGGAAGTCCAAGCCCCTCGCACACAAAACCTCCTTATACCCCTCCCTCCAACCCTTCCTAGGCCGACCCCTACCCCGCCTTCCTTCCACTACAGACTGATACACTCTTGAAGTCATTCTGTTTCGCTCCATTCTCTCTACATGTCCGAACCACCTCAACAAACCCTTCCTCAGCCCTCTGGACAAACAGTTTTGGTAATCCCGCACCTCCTCCTAACTTCCAAACTACGAATTCTCTGCATTATATTCACACCACACATTGCCCTCAGACATGACATCTCCACTGCCTCCAGCCTTCTCCTCGCTGCAACATTCATCACCCACGCTTCACACCCATATAAGAGCGTTGGTAAAACTATACTCTCATACATTCCCCTCTTTGCCTCCAAGGACAAAGTTCTTTGTCTCCACAGACTCCTAAGTGCACCACTCACTCTTTTTCCCTCATCAATTCTATGATTCACCTCATCTTTCATAGACCCATCCGCTGACACGTCCACTCCCAAATATCTGAATACGTTCACCTCCTCCATACTCTCTCCCTCCAATCTGATATCAATCTTTCATCACCTAATCTTTTTGTTATCCTCATAACCTTACTCTTTCCTGTATTCACCTTTAATTTTCTTCTTTTGCACACCCTACCAAATTCATCCACCAATCTCTGCAACTTCTCTTCAGAATCTCCCAAGAGCACAGTGTCATCAGCAAAGAGCAGCTGTGACAACTCCCACTTTGTGTGTGATTCTTTATCTTTTAACTCCACGCCTCTTGCCAAGACCCTCGCATTTACTTCTCTTTCAACCCCATCTATAAATATATTAAACAACCACGGTGACATCACACATCCTTGTCTAAGGCCTACTTTTACTGGGAAAAAATTTCCCTCTTTCCTACATTACTCTAACTTGAGCCTCACTATCCTCGTAAAAACTCTTCACTGCTTTCAGTAACCTACCTCCTACACCATACACTTGCAACATCTGCCACATTGCCCCCCTATCCACCCTGTCATACGCCTTTTCCAAATCCATTAATGCACAAAGACCTCTTTAGCCTTATCTAAATACTGTTCACTTATATGTTTCACTGTAAACACCTGGTCCACACACACCCTACCTTTCCTAAAGCCTCCTTGTCATCTGCTATCCTATTCTCCGTCTTACTCTTAATTCTTTCAATTTATAACTCTACCATACACTTTACCAGGTACACTCAACAGACTTATCCCCTATAATTTTTGCACTCTCTTTTATCCCCTTTGCCTTTATACAAAGGAACTATGCATGCTCTCTGCCAATCCCTAGGTACCTTACCCTCTTCCATACATTTATTAAATAATTGCACCAACCACTCCAAAACTATATCCCCACCTGCTTTTAACATTTCTATCTTTATCCCATCAATCCCGGCTGCCTTACCCCCTTTCATTTTACCTACTGCCTCACGAACTTCCCCACACTCACAACTGGCTCTTCCTCACTCCTACAAGATGTTATTCCTCCTTGCCCTATACACGAAATCACAGCTTCCCTATCTTCATCAACATTTAACAATTCCTCAAAATATTCCTTCCATCTTCCCATACCTCTAACTCTCCATTTAATAACGCTCCTCTCCTATTTTTAACTGACAAATCCATTTGTTCTCTAGGCTTTCTTAACTTGTTAATCTCACTCCAAAACTTTTTCTTATTTTCAACAAAATTTGTTGATAACATCTCACCCACTCTCTCATTTGCTCTCTTTTTACATTGCTTCACCACTCTCTTAACTTCTCTCTTTTTCTCCATATACTCTTCCCTCCTTGCATCACTTCTACTTTGTAAAAACTTCTCATATGCTAACTTTTTCCCCCTTACTACTCTCTTTACATCATCATTCCACCAATCGCTCCTCTTCCCTCCTGCACCCACTTTCCTGTAACCACAAACTTCTGCTGAACACTCTAACACTACATTTTTAAACCTACCCCATACCTCTTCGACCCCATTGCCTATGCTCTCATTAGCCCATCTATCCTCCAATAGCTGTTTATATCTTACCCTAACTGCCTCCTCTTTTAGTTTATAAACCTTCACCTCTCTCTTCCCTGATGCTTCTATTCTCCTTGTATCCCATCTACCTTTTACTCTCAGTGTAGCTACAACTAGAAAGTGATCTGTTTATATCTGTGGCCCCTATAAACATGTACATCCTGAAGTCTACTCAACAGTCTTTTATCTACCAATACATAATCCAACAAACTACTGTCATTTCTCCCTACATCATATCGTGTATACTTATTTATCTCTTTTTCTTAAAATATGTATTACCTATAACTAAACCCCTTTCTATAC